TGCTCAAAGCCACCAACAGCCCCCCCTTTTTCTAGGGAATTTTTTTGTATTGTTTACGCATGCACATCTGATTCCTCCCCACCTAATAATAAAACATATGAAGAGTCTCGATTCTTAATTTTACTTTGGCATTTAATAAAATACCTCGTTATTGAAGACTGCATCAGGAGGTATGATATCTAATGCCAGCCCTCAATAAGTATACCGTGTTTCAAAAAGAATATACGTATTACAAAGTGTTCATTTTTTTCAAACTATCAATCACTGAGCCTCGGCTCGGCTACTCGTAAAACGAATACATAGTCTAGTTTATATTAATAGCCACTAGATGTCAGTTGTCTTCTGTTTTGCATGGTAATCGTCATATTTTTAAAATGGCTACTCCATAGCAGAAATCATTTTATGTTTGAGTTTTCAAAGTACAATTCCGTCATTACAGTGCTAAGACATTTCAAGTTGAGGTACCAAAGTGATCCTCCAAATGGTGGAACATTCGCAGATGGTATCGACAGTTTGTAAATACAGGATGTGTATGTAAAGGAAAGAGTCCTGGCCACCCTTGTGTTCCCGACGAAAATGTTGCACGAATTCAAACTGCTTTCCAACATAGTCCTCCAAAATCAACTTGTTGTGCCAGTCCGGAATTACAACTGCCTAAAACAACAATTCAGCGTAATTTGAGACGTCGGTTGGTTATGAAGCTGTCCAAGTTACATTTGTTACAAGCTCTGCGTTCTGATGACAAACGCAAATGTGTGGCATTTTGTAACGAGATTATTGATGCTATTGACAAAGATAACACTTTCACACAATGCATCGTGTTCAGTGATGAAGTGACTTTCATGTTAGTGTACATGTAAACAAACACAATATTCGAATTTGGAGCCTACAGAACCCACATGCAGCCATTGAACATGTACGAGATTCGCCCAAAATCTATGTGTTTTGTGCAATATCCTGATAATCTGTTTACGGCCCATTCTTCTTTGATGTAAACACGGTTAACAGTCAGCAGTATCTCGCAATGTTACAAAACTGGTCGTTTCCGAGCGCACGAAGACACTCATTTCAACAAGAGGGGCACCCCCTCTTTGCTGTTGGCAAGTGCGTGATTATCTGAATGAAACTCTACCGAACTGTTGGATTAGTCATCAAGGAACTGCCAACTTCACAGGTATCAACTGGCCTCCACGGTCACTGAAAACCCTCAGGAAGGGGTTTCATTAAAAACAAGGTTTATGTACCACCACTCCCACAGAAAACCAGATCCGTACTTCGTAACATCAGTGACGGCGGACATGCTTGCCCGAGTATGGGAGGAATTGATGTGATATTATTCGTGTCGCTGATGGAGGCCATATCGAACATCTGTAATCTGAACTTGAGAGGTTTGTACATATGTGTGTAAAGTTTCATATTCGTATGTCATACAGTTTAATAAATATATGCATTCAAAATAATTCAAATAATATTCTTTTTGAAACACGCTGTATGTGTGGGAATTTATTTATTCAGAACTGGGACAAATAAGCATGTGCAAGGAATAAGCATGGAATTTCAGTTAATATAGCAGATTGTACTGTTTCTTAACTTTCTGATTTGATTCAGCTTATTGTTTCTTGCACTGTTATTATAGCAATTTTATCAAAATTACAGTTTGAACTTTCAATTATGTCGAAAAGAGATTCTAATTCTGGAGCGAGCTGCAACAAGATCTACAAAGCGAAAGCATGTTTCAATGTCCATTAAACGAAATGTGGAACTGCTGCAAAAAATGGATAAAGGTACATTGCGCTTCATGAAGTGGGATTATTCTTTTTATTTTAAAGAGAAAGCCTGTGGCCCCTAGGCAGAAAGAAGACGTACACTGCAGGAAAAAAAAAAAAAAAAAAAAAAAAAAGGATATCTGGTTCTACTGGGTTGATTAATGAAATTCAAATTGTGTTTTTCATATCTCGAAAGCGCGACTTGGATATGTATTAGATTTATATATTGTTCTAACAACGGTATTTTAACACAAAATTGGAAATTTTCTGAAATAATATGAATGGCCTTATAAAAAGTATGTGTACCTATCTTTATCATGATTTTGGGTTTTCATCCGCAGAGAACCTGTTGGCGGCGTTGCATTTTTACTCGCCAAGCTCGATGAGCCGAGCCGTAAACGTGATATTTTGTAAACATGATTTTTAGTGCATGTAAATTCAAGTTAGCAGACAAAACAATATATTAAGCTTATGGTAGAAAAATTTCACAGATAATAAGCATGTAGATGTAAAACTAACCGGTTTAACGTGATATACAAAAATTAATTTGTATTAAATTCAAGTTAGCGCAGAAAAGAATGTATTAAGCATAAGCATTTATAACAGAAATAAAAATTAGTATTAACATACTAAAATTAATCGGTTAAATGTGATATCAAAAAAAAAAAAAAAAAAAAAATTGTCTTAAATTCCAATTAGCACAGAAAACAATACATTCCTTACACCAGCAGTGGTTTGATAATTTTGATGACCATGGGAATGCATCAAAATATTCTGTCATCTTAGATAATCAATAATATTATTTAACTTCTTATCAATTTCATTATTTATGTCACACCGCCATCCTCTGAAAATTGTTAGAAAAGCATTAACATATCTTGTTAAAATTTACGCCATAAAATTGATTTATTCTTATAATTTTAGATGACAATAACCAATAATAAAAATAAAAGCATTACTTAATTATTTAAAATGCACATGCACATTTTTGCGGCCTACAGAAATAAATTATTTTAGAGGTTAAAAACCTCATGGATCTTAGAGCTGTTAATAATTAAGAACACAATGTTAACAGCCATGTTACAAATTAGCATTCACCCCTCCCGCCGTATTTTCTTCCTTTCATCCCGAACATGGAACCGGCATCTATCTACGAAAATATTTCTATCTATTCGTTGTTAAAAATAATAACAAATAAGAGAAGAATAATATAAATCTGCAAATGCGAACAACAACAGTGATAATTCAACAAAATGAATGCAAGAGGAATGGTTGCAAACTTCGAACAAGCGAATAGGATAAATCTGCTGAGTTACCAGGTTTGAACTATTATCGCCAAAGTTGGTGATGTTTACATTTACCGGATTCTCAGCAGAAGTTCTTCCATGATAATGAGTTCATATCTCATTAATATTAGTAGGTTACTTAATTTAAACCTGCAGGAGGAGGATTTCGAAGAACTGCTAGACTAACCCAGAGAAGAATTGACTAACGAAGATCCGATGCATCTTGAACAACAACAAAGAGAAGAGGAGGAACAGCTTGCCATAATTAGAAAATTTCACATGAAGTCAATGGCAGTAGTGTTTTTCAAGTTTGAAGAAGGCCTGACTTAAAATATGATAAGCTATTTAATTTTGTAGCACAGTATTTGTTTGAAAGACAATTTCAAGACAAATCGTTATAATCAATTACCAATACACATGCATTTTTATTTTCATGCTCATAATGGCATTATTAAAAATTGGGAAATGAGAGCAGTGCTTTACAAAATATAAAGCTTAATTAGCAGCTCTGCATATTACTGGAATACATCAAGTGATAATTATTTTCATCGGTACTGTATTTGTCGGCATATAAGATGCACTTTTTTCCTAAATTTGGTCTAAAAAAAAGTTACCTGCGTCTTATACGTGTTGGTAATTGCATTTAATAATTGTTTATTTGGCTTTTACGAAACGTGAGAACTAAAAGAAACCACGCTATTGAAACTTTTTTCCTTGTGTGTGGCCGCCTAAATAAGGGTACGTCTTATATGCCGTCAAATACGATAATTTAATTATCACAAGTTGAAATAGAAGAAGAACTGCAAAAATTTAATTCTGATTTTTATTTCATTTTGCGATTTATTATGTGACATAAAAATCATAAGAAATGCTTGCATATGGTTATTCAAGTCTAATGAACTATGTTGGACTGTCGGCCGAAAGAAGGTGTACCTTTAACAAAAGCGCTTTAGGAAAAACTGATTTGAATGCAATTTACCATAGTAGAAAACCACCAAAATATGAATGAACCAATGTAATTTACATATGCAACGTGAAATATACAATGAAACCAACCGTTCGGAATAGTCTATCGAAAGTTTAACATTAATTAGTTAATTATGAAACTTCATATTTAAAATGTGATCTAATTTTAAATAAATAAGATTTTTAAAAGTGTGAAGAAAAGAAATTTAAATTAGTATTGTGTTTACATTTGCTGTATTGTTTGCATCGCAAGCGCATTTTATCCTGAGATTTTTTAAAGTAGTAAAAATAAGAGAAGTAACAAAAAAAAAGTCATGTGAAAACACTATAGAGTTCTAATGTTTCAGTAATGCAATATATTTGATTTTTTCATTATACTGGCACAAGATAAAATAGTCCTCACCAAAAGAGAGCCAAACTATTAAGATGAGAGAACAATGCCTAGCCAGCACTTATTGTAAACTGCGGACCACCTGCAGATTTCTTTGTCAGCTTTAAAAAGCATTGAAAGATGGAAGTTTCTCGAGCAAGGGAAAGGAAAATGCTGGTACAACAGTTGTACCACAGCCAGCTTTAAAAGAAATAATTGTTCTGGTACAACACTTGTACTGTGGGTTTAAGAAAGTTAAAAGATATGCACAGCAAACCTAGTAATACTTTATGAAGAAATTTATGATATTAACGGTCATACTGAATATGACCTATTTAGTGATAACAAATGTATATTATTTATACTAAATTGGAATTGTGATTATTATTACAATTATTCTTGCATTTTATTTTCTAATTGACACAAACATAAGGTTATATAGAAAACATTTCACATATTTACTAAGACAGGCAAGTTAATTTCTTTACCCCCAGAAATTTCATTATCAGAAATAAAATAGAAAGAACTTCACTTTCGTTCATATGATTTTATATATATATATTTCTTATGTTTTATTAACTAAGCCATTAAATATATTTATATTCCATACCATTTATACATAAAAAATATTTAATTTATAATCAAGGCATATACAATAAAATTTCTACAATTTGGTCAATAAATATTAACATTAATAATTCTCTAATTTTAAGGTAGTTACTCATCTCCTAATATATGAGGATTATCTTTCCACAGTACATTTCCGATGATATCTGTATGTGAAATAATCAGACCATGTAACACTTCATTATTATGATTCTCGAATACAATCGGTTTTTTATGCAGTTTCTCTCTAATAATAAATGACCCTTTTCTGAACTGTTCTTTTTCCTTATTATAATTTACACCGAACTGCGTGAACAAAATTTCATTCTTTTCTGCGGAAACTGTAAACCTTATTTTTTCTTCGGCTTCTTTACGGGACAAACCTCCCTGCTGCACCAATGCCCAAAAAGTAGTGTTATATAAATTATTTATGTGACAATCAGCTTGCCGCCAGCTTAAATAATCACGCAAATTCTTATTTGTGGGATATATTACAACTCGTCCATCGAACGACGGCGGGTATACCAAGTTTTTATCACTAAATACATCCTTCCAATAAAATACAAATGATGCTGTGAATAGACTACACACATTTGTTAATATTTTACTTGATCTTCTTTTATAAAGTTTTGTAGTTCGCTCGAAAATAAAACTGTATTCGTCACTCTGACCGTAAGCAAATTTTATATCATCGATTTCTTTCATCACATGACAAGCAGATTTATTCATTAAATCTAAACATCTTTGATCATTTGGTTTCTCAAATTGATGGCTATCAGCAAACTTATGGAAATTTTTTCCATCAATGCGCACAACAATCCACGTATTTGGCAATATTTGATCGGTACTTTCAAAGTTTTTAACATATTCATAATTGCTTTTCGCCATGCTTTATAAAACAAATATTATTTGCAATTTACTCATACACACAAATATTTTCGAACAGAATAAAAGTACTCGCAAAATAGTTCCTGAAATTAAAAGCTGGAAATAGTGTTCATTTCACTACTTTCTACAAAATCCTTTGCTTCTTCTTCTTGAAGCTTGGCTTCCCTTTGGCAACCTTATGCTCCAACTCAAAATAAAGTTATTTACAAGTTAAAAACCCTTTGCTCACATTCTAAATAAAAAAAGTATTAAATGCTTATAACCACGTTTACCGCCAATATTGATCACATGTTGTCATTAGCGTGAATGAGAATGATTTTAAGTTATCGGGAAAATCAGTCTGCAATCTACGCACAGATTTTCAGACTTAGAACTAATTTAACACAATAATGGCGCACAGAGTAAAATTTTCGCATAATCTGTAAAATATGTATCCAGAAAGCCATTTTATTTAAATAAACTTAGAAAGATAGGAATTCTTTCAATAATGACCTGTTATATTTTCATGAAAATTTTGTTTGATGACAAGCCTTCTTCAAGGTCTATTAACCGCAACCATAGAGTAAACAAATTTATGTTTATGTTAAGCACAAATTTTAAATTGTTGTTGACGTAAATTGGAGCGTAAAAATAGCATTTAAAATATAAAATCCAGGAAATCATCACTTATGCTCTTGAACTAATCTTCTTTCGCTAAGTGAGAGAAATTATTAATACTTTAATTTGAATTTTTTTTTTAATTTAACTAATCTGTATCGCTGTTAATTCTTTTCGACTATTTGAAAAAAAGAATATATATATACTTATTTCTTTTATGTGTTAGGTAAAATGATTAAATTATTTCAAGATCAAGAACATCGTATGAAACTTCACGAAGAGGCTAAGCAAAGGAAACAAGATTTTGCTTTGCGAAATCAACTTCAGTTGCAGGCAAGAAAAGATGCATCTGTTGACATTCCTTATCAACATGATTCTATAAAAGATGATTTAAAAAATTCCATTCGAGCTTTTCATGGTAAAAAATGCAAAGAAAATCTACAGTTGTGTGAAGAATCGCTTGGAAAAGAGTTAGGTATTTGTGATGGATTATTCAGATCACACTTTGCTATTTTAATACATTTTGCCACTTATACATCCATCGTTTACTATATAATTTTGATCATTGCATCCTTATTAGATTGCTTAATACTGCATTTTGCACATTCAGGTTATAAACTGCACTAAAATATTAAGTTTATAGCAGTTCTAAAACTCAAAGTACATTTTATATTCAGTACCAAATTTTAATATTGAACATTTGAAATGCACACAGGGCTGAGACTTCTGATGTACTTAAATGAGGCAGCGGAATTTAAGGAGAAAATTGATTAGAATTTAGAAAGTACAGAATATGCACTGAGCAACAAAAAGTCTAGCTTTAGCCCTAAATGCACATTTTGATTACATTGCTGTCACAAAGCATATGAGAAAGTATATGAAAATTATTTATTAATTTCAATGTTATTTTTGATTGAATTGCATTTCCTGTTTCTGATATAAAATTTTTTGCTAACAGAGTTCAAGATCATACATTAAGATGGCATAAAATAGTGTGTTACTATTATGTTATATGGAACTAGATGATAGTAATTTAAGATAATATGCAAATAACTTGTACAGAAGCCCTTCATTTGTTAAATTATGTATTACGATATTATCATTAAGCTCCTAAAAAATTATAAAAACACCGTTCTCAGTATTCTTGAAGAAGGATTCAGTAGATTTCATTCCTTTATTGAAAACAAAAGGGAACTTACAACAGGAAAACAATTCTTATCAAAAGATTATTATGTTTCTTGTCACTGATTTATTCAATGAAAATATATATTTGAATCATTAATATCAGTGTTGCTAATATGCATTGAAAAAAATAAAATAACTTAGTTAAAATTACCGTAGAAGGAGGAAAATAGATTTTTCATGTTATAAGGTATTTTTTTGTTCCTTTCTGCATGCCTCTGTGATGTAACGGTAGCATATTTGGCTCGTATTCAAGAAGTTCCATGTTTGAGTCCCGGAGAGGGCATTGCTCGTTTTTCATGTACTCTTAACTTCAAAAAAAACTTAATGACTCTGCAGTGGCACCCAAGCTAAAAGGTGGTGGACGATAATTCATCACCACCAGGATTTGATGATTGGGTCCCTTAATCCTCAATTGCCCTTTAAAAGAGGAAGTATATAGGGTATTTTCTTTCTCCTTTCTGGCCTGCCTTCATGGTGTAATGGTAGCACACTCAGCACATATTCAAGAGGTCTAGGCTTAGAGTCCCAGTACTGCTCATTTGTCACATCTTCCGCAATAAAAAAAACATCCTAATGTCTTTACAGTGGCATCCAAAGTTAAAAAAAAAAAAAAAAAAAAAAAACTTGGTGGATGATGATTCTTCACCACCAGGGCTTGGCGATAGGTGCCCTTTAAAGGGAAAGTATATAAGGTATTTTCTCACTCCTTTTTGCATGCCTTCACAGTGTAATGATAGCACACTTGGTGCATATTCTAGATGTCCAGGTTCGAGTCCCTGTCAGAGCATTGCACATTTTTCATGTCTCCTGCTTCAGTATAACCTAATGACTCTACAATGATTAATGTTCTGTGCTTAATGCTGTTGTGAATTGAAAAATGAAATAATGAACCTAAATTAATGAAGTACATTATTCGCAAACAAACAAAAGTAAAGAAAAGAACTTTTAGTTCTTTTCTTTACTTTTGTTCTTTACCAAGGACAAGAGAACTAAAGTAAATTTGTCCAAAGATTCAACACAAATCATTTCACTTTTTTCTTTTCTCCTATATTTACTCCTATATTATAGGGAGCTTTACCATTTGATACTTGAATTAGGGCAGTAGGCTACCACAAATATTGATTACTTTTGTTATACCACCTTAAATATGCAATTGTAAAGAAAACACCTTTGTTACTGAATTCTTATATTGTGGCAATATGCAGTAAATGAGCAGAAAAGATAAATATAACATTATGTGAAGTATGCGAGAAAAATAGAATATTATCTCTATCTGTTTTTATCAGCTTCAATCATGTATTTTAAATGCTACTCCATAAATATGCTTGATTTCTTGGAACGTATATTAAATGTTGTAGCATTTTTATTTCAGGTGATATGCCAAAGCTATTTTTATTACTGATATAATTTTTTTCACATATGTCAAGTATTTTTATGTTTTTGATTATAATTGTTTGTTAAAAATTATTGAATACTGTTGCTATCATAATCAGATTATTCAATTATTTATCTTTTATCATTAAATACAATATCATACAAAAAATAATGTATTTAGTATAAAAACATTTTTTTTTTTTTTTTTTTCCATTTGATTGTTTCAACAAGATTGTATTTGTTTTCTTGTATTGAAATCTTTACTTTTTGCTCTTGATCACAAATAGCTATTTTACCAAAAATCTTCACATTTATTTTGTTTAAACTAAATTTTAATAATGTTTATTCCATACATTTTTTAAAACTTTAATCCCATGTGGTCACAAAATAAACATTTTAACACAATATAATGATGCATATTATTTATTATATACATCATTATAATAATGTGCTTGGGGAAATAATATGTGGACTCAGGGCTGGATTAACCATTAAGCAATGTATTATTGCTAGGCTAGATTAATAGGACATCTAGTCCATATATATTCAAGAAAAAAGGAGGCACCAAAAATTTTTCCATTTCCGGTTTTACCATGGAATTTGCATTAAAAAAAAAAGAGGCAGGTTGTTACAGGTGGTTTATTACCATCTGTAACCAATAATAATACTTTTATAATAGTATCATATTTCGGTTATTAAACAATTATTATTTTTTATGGAAATGGCTAAAATACTGTTGCTGAACTTTAGAAAGAAAGAAAATAAAACTCTGCTATTGAAATCTGTTTTTAAGCTACTATTGCACATACATAATAAGTGAATTTGTTGAAAATGCTGCAACTGACAGAGAATTAATAGCATAAATCCTTTGAAATACACTCATGTCCATAAATTAAGGATAATTCGGAGTCACGCGGAAATCGAACTCTAAAATAAATAAATAAAACTGCAACTCACACGGTTAGCCTAGAGTAGAGAGTATGCATTGTGGACACCGAAACAGTGGGCTTACGTGATGTTTTCCGACGAGTCCAGGTTTAGCTTGCAGTTTGATTCTCGCCGGACTTTCATATGGAGAAATCCAGGTACCCGTTACCACCAAGAAAACATCATTGAACGACACCGTTACGGTGGTGCAGAAGTGCTCGTTTGGGGTGGAATTATTCTGGGTTCCAGAACTGACCTGCATATTCAAATTGGAACCATGACAAGCCAAATCTATTGAGACGTCATTCTAGAACAACATGTACTTTTGTTTCGGGGCGCCATGGGTGCACTATTTGTGTTTATGGATGACAACGCCCGTCCTCACCGTGCAAACATCCTAAGCGAATGCCTTCAATCGGAGGATATCACCCGTATGGACTGGCCAGCATTCTCACTGGACATGAATCCAGTAGAGCACGTGTGGGACATGCTTGGCTGACGAGTTGCAGCCCGTCAACCTCCTCCTACATGTCTACCGGAACTTCGGAGAGCATTGCTTTTTGAGTGGTGTAATATCCCCCAAGATCAGATCGATAATTTGATACTCAGCATGCCTAGGCGTTGTATGGACTGCATTGCATCGTCTGGGAGACATACAATATATTAACAATCATACCAACCATGTAATATTGGTTTTTTGTAAATAGGTTTTTTTTTTTTTTTTTTTTTTTAATTTGCTCCAGGGAGAAAAAATTGCTATTTTTTTTAATAATATCAAACATATAGCATCTTTTTTTGCTCTTTACCTTTTATTTAATAAATAAGCTTAACAAATAAGTCAAATTTGTTTTGCTTCTAACCCTTCCTTTGCCTGATTTTGCATTATCCTTAATTTATGGACATGAGTGTATGTATTAGAAAAGGTCTGGTAATTTTAATTTTCTACATACCATGGTATTTGCTGCATTTCATGAATATTTACAAGAATACTCAAATATTAACAAAGTTAATAGTTACATTTATTCGTGGTAGCATGACAGCGTATTTTTCATTCCATCTTTTAATGATGTAGTCAGATGGATTTAATTCCCCTCCCCCATGCTAAAATTTCTAAAATATAGACTCAGTGCAGAAAATTTGACTGTAATGTCTCATTATTTGATTTAAACAGGGAAATTGTGCATAATGATTTGAACAAGTATTCTTTTAATTATAATCGTTTAATAAGAGATGATGTAATTTGTACTAAGCATATTAAACAATTATGTTAAATTATACTAAAAAATTAGCTCTTTTGATCTGTTGCAAAATGCCAAAATCGAACTGCCAGCATTCAGCGGTCTTAAATACTCGCCTGCTGGTAAGGTTCAAATGCATTAGGAAAAGATTATTAACCTTTTGATGGTCATCAAGGAGCTTAGCTCCCATTTCAGTTACGCACCGCAGTACGCGCAAACGAATGCAGCTCGTATACAGATTTGGGAATCTTATCTGGGAAGAGAGAATTGCTTAATCTCGGAACTGCCGAAGGGTTACGTGCACCTGGCAGCAAGATATATAAATTTCATGTTTTCAAGGTAGTATTTGGTGAAGAATTAGGGCTTTTTTGAAGTCGGAGCTATTCGGAAATTATTAGGCAGTACGGAAAGAAGTGACTGAGGTTATATTGCAGAAAGTTGTAATCGTAAAGTTATTATATGTACGGAAGTTGGATTTTGAAGTCATATAGATGAAAGTGCCTTGGTTGCTATCAAGTGTGAAGGATTTCGTTGAAGAGAGGAATCCCGATTCGCTGTGAACGAAAGCAGTAGGAAGGCCGAAAATAGCTATATTCGAGAATATGGTCATTGGTAGCTGCAATAATTGATTTGGGCGGAAAAGTGTCGGAGGACTCAGCAAAAAAAGAAAAAGAAAAAAAAAAAAAAACTAGAAATTGATATCAGCAATATAACTTGTCGAGGAAACAAAGTGACAATCGTCAAGTAGAGG